ATAGGGGCATCCTCTCTCAACCAGTCCATAGGGACATTTCTGGATCCATGGATGGATTAAATTTGCAAAGCCTCAACTCATTCTGCAAACCCCTGTGGTGTAACCCACCTTTTTCGGACATGAGAGCCTCAAGCCTCGTCCGGCCCCAGCGACCCCGCCTCATGGCACTTTCGGCGACCGTCGCCTGAAGCCGTCGGCGCTTGGATATGCTAAGTGCCCCTCGAAGACCTACATAATGTACAGGTTTGCTGTTTTAGCGTCATACTGCCCAATGTGGGTAAGCTTAAAAAGCAATGCCTGAGCAAGCATTTGTTGAATCTGCAGTCTTTGCGTGTTCATCATCTGTATTTTTATCTGCGCTGCATTGTCGTGATTTGGAGTAGTACTTGTGCTAAAGGTATCCGAAAAATCATATACTTGATGCAATCCCAAGACACGTTGAGCAACATGTTGGGCTTCCGGCCATCGCTTGCCCGTGCCATGTTTACCTCGCCTGACTCCAAGCGCAAGTTTCAGAACCGATTGGCATGTGAGGGTGATAGAGCGACGACATCAGACACGCCGAGAAGGAAAAGATTCAAGGTGTGGTGCGGCTTTCGCAGAGCGTGGAAGTCATTCGAGCATGACAACCATGATGTGACCAGTGACTGGTCGCCGATACTGGATCCTTCCAGCAGCACTGAAATAGTGCACAGGAATGACCCGGCAGAGGAATAGATGAGCAGCGGTGGGTGCAGCAGCGCGACGCTGACCCGGCGGCTGTGCCCTTGCAGCCTTTGAGTGAAAGATCGCAAGCAGTCAGCAAGCCCAAGAACGGAAAGTGAGGCACTTGTTTCCGGGATTCCTTGAACACGCAAGCTACCATGTGGCCTGACATGGGTTCACTTATTTCTGGGATCCATTGAACGTGCACGCTGCCATTTGGCCTGACAGACATGGGTTCACTTGTTTCCGGGATCCCTCGAACGTGCACGCTACCATTTGGCCTGGGTTCACTTGTTTCCATGAAAGCACCCATTCAAAACGTGCGAACGATGGCCGTAGAGCCAACATGTTGCACAATGTTCAACAAGGCTTAAGGTTGGTTGGTCGGTTGGTGGCCTGTGGACTTTGGGTGAGGAAGGTGGAGGGGGGGGGGCTGTGGGGAACTCTTTCAAGCCTATGTGTGGTCGGAAATTACTCTACAACGCAGTTTGGTTTATCATGGTTGACTAAAATTCAATCATGACCCTGAGAATATTCAGATTGAATGGATTCGCAAATGTAAATCCAACTAGCATGTAAATGGCACTGCACAAGGACACGCAGCACTTGTATAATTGAACTGGATTTCAATTTCAACTGGCACTCTACATAGGAATGAATTCCTTCCCCCCAAATTGATGGTGTGCTGATTATTCTTACAAACATGAGATGAGTAAACAACGATGAGAGAGCAGTTACAGGCGAGTTAAAGCTGCAAACGTGTGTCTTGCGTATTATTCTTGTAATGAACAGTTGATACACGTTGCGTTGGTTTTGAGCCAAAGTGCGCATCACTTAACTAAGACTTACTACATTCGAAGTGAACAAATGCGATGTTCGAGCCGTTCAAAATGGGAACTCCTTTCCACAATTGCTGTTACATTTACATTGTCCTGTAAATTGAGTGTGCTTAGAACTTGCATGGAATTAAACAAGGAGTAAGTTCTTTCAAGATTGAACGTGGTTTAAACTTCTCGGAAAAAGACTTGGAGACCCCCAAACCGTCTTAAGTGTCGGCTACAACTTACGCAACACAGGCCCATAGTCTGGGTATCTGCTCTAAAACTCACAAGACCCCTGTCCATGAAAGCTATCTACAAGTGTATGTATATATATATATATATTCATATGGGCCATATATATATATATAGTAGCCCCCCCCCCAAAAAAAAAAAAAAACAAGAAAATTTGACGGTATTTACACTACTTTTGGGTGATTTCCACCCCCTTTTCAAGCACCTCAATTTTGACCATCAAACTATGCCTGCATCTGCGCATTTGCCTGCCACTCTATCCACCTAAAACGTTTTAAAACGCTTTAAAGCACTTTTGCATCTAAAGATTCAAGAAACAAAATTCTTAGGACTCTAGATCTCGAATCTTGAATCCAGTATGGAGCCCCCAAAAGGCTTTAAAGCGCTTGAAAGCACTTTTGGATCTAAGATGCAAGATTTAAGATTCCCAGGACTCTTGTGTTTGAATCTTGAATCCATGAGCTACCTGGATACAAGCCCTTCACAGCGTTTTGGGGCCCCATACTGGATTCACGATTCAAGATCTAAAGTCCTAGGAAAATTGAATTTTGCATCTTAGATCCAAAAGTGTTTTACGGCGCTTTAAAGCGTTTTGGGAGCCCATACTGGATTCAAGATTCAAGATCTAGCGTGGTGAAAATCTTGAATTTTGAATCTTAGATCCGAAAGCGCTTTAATGCTCTTTAAAGTCGGCTTTCAGCTATTCCTGTTTGGTTGTGCACGTTAGTATTATTTTGGACTTGTGCGCGGTAAATACAGTTGATAGTTCGGCATATGGACATTGGACAATTAATTCATCAGAACATGTTCTAGAAATTCATGCTAAATCTTGGATATTGAAAAACACTGTGATACTGAAAAACACATGTAAATACCAGTGTTGTGCATGCTTCTTAGCCTGCTAAGAAGCAGAACAGATGTCGTCCAGAGAATTTTTGGTCGTAAGCAGACAACTGTGTGCCCAGTTTTGTCAGCTGCAGAAGGGGGACGATTTGAGACGAGTTGAGACGTTGAGATTTGTCAAATCGTAGGTATTGGCGCTGGTTTCTAAGTTGACAAACGAGGATTTGCACATCAGTTGAGATGAGAAAACGAAGCGCAGGCGAAGCAGAAGAGGTATTGCTTGCTTTATTGTTCATACCCTTGCGACGGAATCTCACAGAGATGTTTACAGTTAATTGAACGAGAATGACAGTAGTGATGCAAACTATGCAGAACAAAAATATTATGGCTTGATTTTTACTGCAACACATGCGAGAATATCGCGGTTTCTATGGCAAATGTTCTACCATTGACTGACATGTTTGAACACTTCAGAGATGTATATATGACATATTATGGCTTAGACCCTGTCTATTGTGACACGTTCCCCAGCTTCGCTTTTGCAATGTGCCTAGCTTTGCTTCCGATGCTATGTTCACACTAGCTTTTGTTGAAATAAATTTAGTTTTATGACCCAACAATGTATGAAATGATTGAGCAAGGATCAACAGCAGGAATGTTACAATCTTTGTTCAGAAAGTAGAAGAAAAATACGATTTAAATGGGTGGCAAAGTCTGCATGAATCATCTGCGCACGTCTGTCACATTGGAAACTGAGCCTACTTTCGGTAACATCCATCTGAAATGACCTGACTTTGCCTTACACAAGCAGCAGGCGCGGGTTTTGGGGGGGGGGGGGTGCACATATTGCTCCCCCCCCCATGAACTACCTTTGCGTTGTAATTAACTTTATCAAATCCTATTTGGAAAGGAGTTCCTACACAAGTTCTAAATCAACATAGACATTCAAATTCAATTATGGCCGTCTGCAGTTCTATCAAATATTCAAGTATCATGAAACATGAGTTTACAATTGAATGATGATTCACATAGAAATGATTCCCTTGTTGAGTTTTTTCATGGAAAGGATGTGTTTTCTAAACTCTGATTGACGATGGAAAGTGCGATGGAACTCTTTCCTCATGAAACTCTATGTATCTTCTACTAGCTAACGGTAGTTTTTAGACTCCTATGTGGCAAGGGCCTTTTTTTTGCAAAAAAAGATAGACCGTGCAGTTGAACTCTGTGCTGTTGACAGTAAGCTTTACCAGGAGCCTAGGAGCCTTAGAAGCAGCTTTTCACTCGGAGCCTAGGAAGCCTTAAGAGCGCTTCGCAAGTCGTGTAAAGAGCATAGAAAACCTGCATCAAGAGCCTAGCTCAAGAAGTCGAGCAGTGTTTTGTTCTTGTTTTCTCGAGCTGCTTTGCTTTTTCTTTACACAAAACGGAAAAAACAAAAAAAAAAAAAAAAAAAAAAAAAAAAAAAAAAAAAAAAAAAAAACATCGAGGTTTAGGGCGACAAGAACAAAAACCATCTCAAGAAAACCAACAAAAACTGCTGGTAAAAGCCGAAACTTCTCCCAGAGTTTTGTTAGCCATGTGAAAACTTCCCTCCCGAAAGGGTTTTTTGGTTTGGATTTCTCGAGCTTTGATGTTGCTCGTGGGTGTCCATCAAATTTGTCTCAGAACCAAAACAGACATCGAGTGGTTTGGCGTTTATTCAAAAAAACTGGGGGGAAGAAACAAAAACAAAGAAGAAGAAAAAAAAGACACTTTTGGCAAAATCACTTCTCCTCAGAGCTTTGGTGTTTTGGTTCTTGGGTTGTTTGGCCTTCTGGATGATCTTGTTTGTTTTTGCCTGTTCGTCTCCACCTAAACGACAAAAGTTGCTAAACACAGTGTATTTTTGCATACAAGTGCTATACAATTGAAAAAATGGGTGTTGGCTAACTTTTCACAACTATCGCAATGCAAACCCAAAGCGGAATCCGTTTTGCGTTAAACGTCGTTCGCAAAAAAGAAGAAGCAAACACACATGTGTGTTTACATTTTTGAGGCACAGCAAAAGAGGTAGTTCATGGGGGAGTGACCTATATATATATATATATTGTGCCTGTGCGTGTGTTCTCGAAAAAACCCAGTATAAGGTTGTGCTTAAAGGAAGATAAAGAGGAACACCGCAGTTTTAGGGTCCCATATCCCTATTTTGACACATACCCAAATGGTCCAAAACGAAACGACAAGAAACGAGGTCTTTCACTGGGAACTGCTTGAAAATCCGATTGAGGCAAGCCTCACACATGGGGTAAAAAAAACTTAAAAGCAAGTCCCCCGCCTCCAGATCTCAGGGCGTGTCCACAAGGAGAGTTGTCCCAATTCAAGAGAGAAGGCCGACTGAGGCGGAGAATCCAAGAAGTTGAGGAACAGCAAAACTTCCTCCATCGGTCACTGCTGGACATCTAGTAGGCACCTATCATGATGCATTAACAGAATTCGCCAATGCTTGACAGAATTCGTGTGAGCCAAAATCAACAGCCCGCATGCGCAGGCGTTGATTCCCGTTCTATCATGCTGTAGAGCGACAACATCAATGCCAGGCATGTCAACAACTGTTCCGTTGATGTGCTTTGGGAAAAAAGAAAAAGCCGTGAGCATGTGAGCGAGTGGGCGATGCAAGGGCAAACTCTGGAGCACCGTGCGCAAAAGCAGTATCTTTCTTCATTGGGGCTACCCTTTTTTGTGGTTGCTTCAAAGGAAAGCCAAAGGGGCCGTATTGCTGGTCCCTCCCCCGCCATGTTTTGATAAGCCCAAATGTCACATAGCACCATTTGCAAGAATTCTGCATATGCTTGTCCCCCCAAACTCGGAGTTGCCGCTCTCAGTTTTTGTGTGGTACCTATCACCATCCTCCAAAGTGAAACCAAAAGGAAACCCCACAGAAGCCGCAGACCTCCGCTCGGCTCCGTTTTTTCATGTCGCTTCAGATGGAACTCCGTCATGCTTGTAAGTGTGAAACTAGTCGGTCACGCCAACATTGGTGACGTTGTTCCGAACTGCTCGGCCTGATACATCGGTCAACTGGACTGGAGCAAGGCAAAACCAAAGCACTATTTAAGAAAATGAATGAAAGGTGACATCTGCAACTATGGCTTGGACTGCCTTGCATCTTCCCAAATTTTGAGCGAGACATGCTACGCGCATGGCGTTGTGGCATGGAAACTAGACCGCTCAGGCCAGACGCAGGGGTACACCAAAGATATGTTTGGACGGGTGATTTGGACATGTCAACCGGGTAAGAGCATCCGCTGCCAATCCAAAACACCAATCAGAGGGAAACTGAGTTTCATAGTTCCAATAACCTGAACATATGAAACTATGAAACTGTCCTAATAACCTGAAACTACTGAATCATCGTTCTGATCCGATTCGGGTGTACCCCAGAAAAAAGGGTGGGCTGTCATGTCAGCACACACGCGGCTAGACTGCAGGCCCACCATGCGCTGCCTTCTTGCGCAGCGCAGTCCTGGCAATTGGGAAAGCAGAGCATGGGAAACCCGGATCAGCCAACCCCCAGTTGATTCACAGGGGTCCCTTTTAGTGGTGACTCAATCCACTGTTCCACTCTTGTTGGGGCGCCCAGCCCTTCTGTTTATTCAAGGGGACACCCTTTTTTGTTGACCCCCATTCCTTCTTTTTGACCCCCTTCACCCCCTGTTTCGTTTTGGTTGACCCCCCTTGCTTGTATTCGACCCCCTCCCCTCCAATCGGCCGTAACAAGAGGCCGGACGGAGCGGGGAGCGGAGTCGGACCAAAGCCGGAGCCGGGCCAGAGTGGGGCAGGGTTGATTTCAATCTCTGCAAGAAATCTGAAAAATAGCGGGACTGTACACTGAAGACGGTCCGCTCCTTTTCCTTGCACTGCCGGATGAGCAGTACATGAGTGCAAAGAAAGGGCCTTGAACCAATTTTATTGCGTGCGTGACTGGTCAAGCCAAAGCAAACACAAAACAGACACAAATTTCTTTAGACCTTTCACACCGAAATAATACTGTCACGTTGGCTTGTTGGCCTTTGACTGTAGCCGTTTGAAATTGTTTGAGCGCCGTGGCCTAGAATGGTGTGTGGCGACTGATATTGTATATCATGAACAATTCGCTCATCATCTTTTTCTTGACTCGGTTGATTGTTCGTTCGGCCGTTGGTTATGGAATGTCAGGTTATAGGGGGAGGCAGCTTATGGAGGAGGATTGGCAGATTGGAGAAGGACCAGACGGCCAAGACATGTTGGCTCACGAGGAGCGCGGAGATCTGCGGATGGCTCAAGGTCAAAAGGCTCAGGAGACAGCAGGACAAGCTTGCGCAGCGTGCGGTAGGGGAGAAGAACTGCAGGAGTGGATCCCCTGGAAAGCGAAGGGGCAGCGCTGCTGGATTCGGGAGTCATCCGAGGTCGCGCTTGGCGGTGAAAGGCCACAGCGATGCATCTGGTGGGGCCCACGACTGCAAGAGCATCATGTACTACGCAGGAGGATGCCCAGTGTTCTGGCTGACGTCACGGCAGCCTTGCATCGCGCTCACAGAGAGCAAGCTGGCGGCCATTGAGACGACTGCGCTCAGGGGAGTTGGAGGTTTGGCGGAGGAACTAGGTTGAATTGCGGCTTTGTAGCGACAGTAGCGCGTTGGCCATCGTGCACGACAACTCCGGAAGCTGGAGGAGGACGTGATGCGTGGCGGCAGCTGGAGCTCCGGGATGACAAATGGGAGTGCAAGTGCACCACAAGAGGAGGAGAAAGCTATTCGACACCGAACGGTGTGCATGGCAACGGCAGAAGTGGACCTTTGTGTGTATCGCGGCATGCGACAAGGACGACGCGAGCACCTCGAGACGCAAGATTGGGTTGGATTAAGCGTTCTCGTGGGCACAACTTAGGCTTGGGCGGCTCGATCTTTTTGTGGATCTTTTCAGGATGGTGTCCCCTACTCAAAGAGGTGGAGCCCAAATTTACGCTTGAGACCGGCTGTGAACCGCCTTTTCTGCCCAAGAGAAAAGGGAAGCGGCGCTTCTACATCGTTTTAATCCTAAACATGGGGTCTCCTTGTGGAACAGGCCAGTTGTTCAATCATAGTCGTTGTAAGGCTATGCTCGATCAAAACCCAACTAATCTACATGGCATGTCAGAGTATTTGGGGAATGGTACAGTTTTGACTATTTGGGTATGTGATGCCCTAATCATGAAAGCTCCAAATGATTGAAAATCCTTGGGCTGCAATCCATCTTTATCAAGGAAGTTGCTATCTGCTGCAAAACTGAAACCCCTCAAAAGGCACCTGCCCGTTTAAGAACAAGGAGAAGTCAATGCGACAACTAGAATTCTTAATCACAAAGAACCTGGAATCCCCCGAAAAACATCAACCCCTTTGAGAATGGAATTCAACAATTTCACAAACATGAATCTCGCATTCCCCAAAAAGACGCCAATCCCTTTGAGAATACTTAGAATAGTTAAAATGATGAGAAGCAATACGACAAGTAAATCATCAGCCAAAAAAATCATGAATTCCCCTAAAGCACACCTGCGCCTGAGGAAATTAAAGGGGCTAGACTAATTGGAACCAACATGAATCAGGAATTCCGAAAATCGTAGCCCTATGGTTTCCACGTAGTTCTATTCCAAAAAACAAACAAATAGAAGAATTAGAAACAAATATGTGGGACTCCCGAAAAGGGGCCCGTCCCTTTGAGAATAGTGGGAACACTTAGACAAGCAGGAATCGAATCTGGAATTACACAAAAGGCCCCCGTTCTTTGTGGGATAGTTAAAATGACAAACAAAAAAAAAGATAGTACGCAGCCTGATTAAATAGCAACACGTTAGGCACCCCGTCCCAGTCAAAACAAAGGAACGCTCGAAAAATAGAAGAGCAAACGCTTTAGTTGGTCGTCCCTGTGCTTTGATGTTTCCAATTCTTGCGAATACTGAGAACAACTATGGTAACTAAATAGACAAAATCACAAAATGAACCTGGGGCTTCTCCCAGAGGCACCCGTTACAGAGTAACTCGGTTAATTAGAAACAATGAATCTGGAAGAACAACTAATATTGCACGGCACCCGTCGCGTTGGGAACAAGTAGAATGCTTAGAATATCTAGAATAAGTGGAACAAAGATGGGCCCAAAATACCCAAAAGGCACTTGTCTCTTTCCAGAAGAACAAGTGAATCTTGCCCAATAAAGGGGCCCGGCCCTGTCAGAGCTCGCACGCACTGCTTCTTTGACTCGTTGGGAAATGGGCCCCCACGCACCCCCCCACCTTCCCGACCGCGCCTGGCCAAGTAGCAGGCGACGCAGGAGCAGGAGAGTAACACCAGCCCCAAGACGCAGTATGCTACATAGAATACCCAAGGCACTGTCGTCTCGGACTTGATGTCCTGCCGGCCAGCCGTGTTGTCACGATCCCCCTGTAAATACCTGACAAACAAATATATGTGTATATGCACATATACATATGTCATGTTGAGAGGTAACATCCGTGGTGCTGGGCCCTCTGCGCTTCAAAATGATTGTGGCCGTTTGTGTGTCAAACTTCGCTCGCGCAACCATCCGCGCAGTTTAAGGGGGAGGGAGGGCAGGGGGCGAAGCCGAAAACCTCGTGGTGTGTGCACGTGTGTGTCTCGTGTGTCTCGTGTGTGTCTTGTGTGTGTGTGTGTCTCGTGTGTGTCATGTGTGTCTCGTGTGTGTCTCGTGTGTGTCTCGTGCGTGTGTCTCGTGTGTGTCTCATGTGTGTCTTGTGCGTGTGTCTTGTGCGTGTGTCTAGTGTGTGTCTCGTGTGTGTCTTGTGTGTGTGTGTGTGTGTGTGTGTGTGTGTGTGTGTGTGTGTGTGTGTGTGTGTGTGTGTGTGTGTGTGTGTGTGTGTGTGTGTGTGTGTGTGTGTGTGTGTGTGTGTGTGTGTGTGTGTGTGTGTGGTTGGTGTGTGTGTGTGTGTGTGTGTGTGTGTGTGTGTGTGTGTGTGTGTGTGTGTGTGTGTGTGTGTGTGTGAGTGTGTGTGTGTGTGTGAGTGTGTGTTTGTGTGTGTGTGTGTGTGTGTGTGTGTGTGTGTGTGTGTGTGTGTGTGTGTGTGTGTGTGTGTGTGTGTGTGTGTGTGTGTGTGTGTGTGTGTGTGTGTGTGTGTGTGTGTGTGTGTGTGTGTGTGTGTGTGTCTGTGTGTGTGTGTGTGTTGTTGTGTGGTGTGTGTGTGTTGTTGTGTGGTGTGTGTGTGTTGTTGTGTGGTGTGTGTGTTGTTGTGTGGTGTGTGTGTGTGTTGTTGTGTGGTGTGTGTGTGTTGTTGTGTGGTGTGTGTGTGTTGTTGTGTGGTGTGTGTGTTGTTGTGTGTGTGTGTGGTTGTGTGTGTGTGTGTGTGTGTGTGTGT